AGGTTGATGTTATTCAAGTCATCGATAATTTATAAGGAATCCTTAAGGCTATAGGAATTGGCCAGTTGTCACATCAGTAAAAGGATCTTCACTAGTCAGCGAGCTAATTTGTGCTGCGGCACAGTTAGCATTGATAAACTTGGTCTAAGTGGCACTCCGTTCTTGTGCCTTTTTGGTGACGCTAACAGCAGTGGAGTAGTGCTGTCATTTGATCACAAAAGGTTGTGGACGTCACTATCAATCCGACGATGAAGAAGAAGCATTTCACGGTGGGAAACTATGAGCGCTTCAAGGTCCACTACGTTCTCCAGCTTATTAAGTCGTTCAACATTTCTCGTGCACTATGCTACTCATTTGCTGTGCGTACTCGGTTTTGTTCATAATCACCAGTCCAGAGCTCTTATCCGGTTTCGTCACAACCAAGTCCTTCGCACATAGTTCGCGTAGATCATGAAGGTGTCAGCTTGTAATCGCGCATTCGTCACTCACTGGAACATTCTTAACTTCATAGTCAACATCAGACAATTTGTTCTTAACCAAACCACGGTGTCAGGACTGGAAGTTTGAAGCCATTAAATTGATCAAAAATTCGCAAATTCGGCTTCTATAAACATCCCGTTGAGCAATTTACGTGGAAGGTGTAAGCAAACTGGTATGACAATGTATCTAATTGTGACGCATCAAGTTTTCCGTCCGATAAATTCACCACGTACTTATTAGGATCATAACTGCGTGACTCCCCCGCTTGGTTGTTCGTTGGTATTTTCTCCAACCCAGTAATCCAATTTCGTCTTGCGCGCTCGAGTGTGAATTTGCAAAAGTTAGCAAACACAATGCGAAAACACAACTATCCATCCTCTATCACTGGTAGTAAGCGTGCGTGAGTTTCCAGTAAACCCACAATTTTGACTCTGCCGTCTCCAGGTGAGGGGGCGCGATGTGTCTTGGGTTAGTGATGGTATCTACTCCGGAGAATCCATTTCCTGGAGCATATTGTGAGTCCACATATACGCGTTTCAATATATTATCATTTATAATTTAACTTATTTGATTCACGCAAACCATCTCACAGGATATGTCAAACCTTGAGCTTCCTACCCGCATTATGCCACGGTTCCATTTGTTCAAATGCATCTAGAAATCCATCTCGCGGCTTCAATATGTAACAACGCTCAAGGGAGTCTTAACCGCAGCGGGTACAAGAGAGAATAATTAATGTTATTGCCTGCTATGTGCTGGCAGAAATGACATAGGGGCTCATTTGATCTATCATTGAATGCAACCTTGCATACTACTATAATAAATTATTTGTTATATTCCTTCAGGTTTACATGCGCTTTAATGATATGCCAAGCATCAGATGAAATGTGTGGAAAAGATGTCAGTGGGTGAATTTAGCAGTTTGTGGGCATTCGGTAGCTGATAGTTATGTAGGAAACAGGGGAGGTGAATACGAAACTGTCTGGACTGCGATTTGGAGGGGAATATAGACCGCAATGGAAAAAGCTCTACCTGTAGTTGTAACCCGCAGTGGGCATCTTACCTCGCTCCACCCTAGGGACAAAATAGGATGTGGAGACATTCAAAAACTGCTCCTACACAAAATTCAGATCTGATGTCGCTTGATGGATACGCCACTTGGAGTGTTTAGGGCATCAATTGACAGCAGAGGATTGAATGCGCTTGCTTCCTTTGCAGAGCTTAAGAAGCAGAACTTAATTTTTCTACGAACTACAGACACTAAGAATAGTTACCTGCACTCATCTTTCAAATGTTGCAAAGTGATTTGTGTCCAATGTGTTCCGACCTTTGCATTACGCCATGAGCAACGATATGAGTAGGTATCCGAATTTAAAATCAGATTCTCTCTAGTGCTCTGTTCTAAGCTGTCCCACTAGCACTGTGCTTCTCCGTGCATCCAGAATTACCGGTCTTCCTTGATGGATCGTTAGCTGTAGAAAACGAAAAATTGTACATCGCAACGTTATAACCACAGCAAAATATTGTTATTGAGTATTTCACTAATCATCTGTGAAGCTAATTACCCAATTTTTGTGAAAAATGCATCTGTCAAATTCCACGGCGTGGGAATTTGCGTTCGATCGTGTGATTTCCTCCAGTGCAAACAAGTGAGCTGCTAGTTACCGAGAAAATAACGGCTATTGGAACGTCACCTATATTCTGTGTGTATTCAGCAAAATTTATTTGGAGCAAGCGCCACAAGTTACGGTTTAGTTGTGGCCCTAGGAAGGAGCACAGAGTACCAAAAACAATCGCTGAGAGCGCATAATTCCGCTCATTATCACACTAAAATTCGTGCGACGTTAAAATCAATCACATCAACTTTCAATCGCTTAGCATACAAAAAGTAGACCTTGGTACGGCTTCACTGGCCACTGCTGTACGGATATCATCAATCAGTTTTGACTCGCCGCCTCACACTATCAACTTTGGTAAAGGGGAATGGTAACCGATCTCTTGTTTTTCTAGGTAGAGCGCAAATCTCTTTGAACTTTCGGCAACTGTATGCAGTCGCCATGTTCTCTGCCTTTATTACCCTTCCTCATCTTAGAAAATGCGAGAAACCCCAACTAAGTGAGGCGTAGTTATCAGTTTCGTTCCACATCTTAATTTTCGCTGTTCCACTGCTTTCGCTGCAGGTCGGGTTGTGGCGGATGGGGGGACCAATCAGAAGTCCATTATATGGCGTCAGCGAAACGTTGAACCCCTGTTGGTCACTTTAGTGGGCAGATCACAATTTGTCAACTGCCAATCTTTCCCTAGCTTGGACTTGTTTAAAAAACCATTAGCTGTTGCTCTTAGCTCCCAGCATTTTGTTACCTAAACTCCTCTATTGTGGAGTACACCAAGCATGCTTTACTGCAGTATTTATGTACCAAATGGAACCAAGTGAGCGACCATATTTTACTTTTCTCAAGTCCTATATCAACGATCACTGCACCCCGGTGGGTTTCTGAACGTTTACGCTCGATTTTTAAATTTTACTCTGATGTAATTTAGCGAAGTCTTCATCTCGGCAGATGTTCGGTAGATGACTCAGGCATATTTTGATTTCATCATGTTCATCCCAACCATCCTACAGGACTTGTCAAGCACTTGCTTTTATCCCGTGATAAATCATTGTTCATTGTTCAGCCCATGACAACGACATACTGCAAGCAGCTAGAAAATAAGACGCGATACAGCTGGACCCTATCACCGATGAAGCCGGCTTATGCAGGAACATTCGCACTCAGCATTACTCGATTCGGTTTTGCCATCTGGACCGGAATCCACACGCAATATTTGCCATCGATCACTTCATTGTCACCCAACTTATAGCGAGTTCTATAGCTTCCGGAAAGATCATGCTTACCATTAGCCTACGCTGTTGTATAACTCAAATGTATACCAGCTAACTGTGCCCCATGCTGAGGCTGATGTTGCATTCTTGATGCTTCTTCACCGCAGTTGGGCTAAACCAACTTACACTTAAACTAGGTCTTTTTCAGTTGGATAAATTTCATTCCGCTTTATTTGGTTTGTTCTGCCTCCCTGAATAATGTTCTATTAACTGGCCACGTTGCTTACACTAATTGCGCTTATCTTCGGTAATTTTGTTGCGTTTGTAGCATTTTAAGTAACTTGTGGACATTTCTTACTTATCACGGATTTGTTGCTGACCAACTTACTTTATATAGTAATTTAGCGAAGAGTTATGCCACCGTATCTGTATGCATTATTGGATTTATTTTATTTCAGCTTGTCGTTTAAATTGAATGGCTGTAGTTTGATATCCCTGGTATGGTTGCGCTTGATGTGTATGTTGACAAGGTGCCTACCTGTCTATTACCCACTACATCGTTCATACTGGCTCCAGGAGACAGTTGGTCGTTGCTGGAGGGGACGGGGTGCACGGTTCTTGTGGCCGTGCTAGGATCAAAGAGCGGTTCCATGCACTCAGTGTGGAGCGGACTACGGTCCAGCCACCGCCTTGTGTGCGGTTGATTCCCCAAATACAGCGTGCTTGTGTTTGCTGTGAAGGAGTGTGGGCCGGCTCCGTTGATGAAACGTGGTTCCCATCCGCATGCCTCCCGGTCTTATTCCTTCGGGTTTACACTGGATATGGGGTATGTGGTTGGAGCTGTGGGTGGTGCAGCGCAAGCCATCCATGGTCCCTCTGTAGGCGCAGGCGTCCTGTGGCTTGCCACAGTGACAGGCAAATCCGAAACCGGATGCCGCCAACCATACCAGCTAACTACACTTCATTTCTGCACATCATTCGTACAGGTTCTCTTGCATTCGTCTGCTCAACCAATTCACATACTGACACTCGCTCTTGCTCACCTCATCCTTTCAGGTCGAATTGTTGCCCCCCTTGAATAGAATTAACGGTGTTGGACCCCATTAGCCATCTACTATTAACACCGGATCACCGGTCTACTTATGTGGTGTATCGTATTGAACTGAAACTGTGCTTCGGATAATATGATTGTTCCCGCATTTTGCTGAACAGTATTTCTTCTGTCGATTGACATTAGCCAGTAAAGTTTCACAACGCCTAAAGAAAGTGGGAGAGTGTTGGAGGTGCAAGAAAAACACAGGTATGTTTGGGTAGGCGTTCATGACTGCAGACTAGAGTTTTTCTGGGTTGCAGAACATTTGTTACTACCGCTTGTTTCATACCACTCAAACGTCCCGTGCTTCTTTGAGATCGATAAACTCAAATTAGCACTCAGCCGTGATTTGAACTGTAATCAGAGTGTTTTCATACCCACGTCGGCCCGCGCAGTGTTTCGCAAATATACTTCTCGTCCGGTGCGTTTTCTTTTGACTCGCGTGGCGCAATCTAAGAAGCTGCTAAGTCGAACCCCTGGGGACACAACAGAGAGAAGCACTGAAAATGTATAAATGCGACTGCCAACACATTTCGTAGATACTACGCAATTCGGCTGACCTAGTTGGCATGTAGTGCGCTTCAGGCAGTTATACCCTGCACATTAATATGCATCCTTTTGCTTTATGGTTAACGGTAGCATCAATTCCATTAAAAGGGTGTCGCTTGTAGCAGGCGTGACCGTGATAGATTGTGGATAACCGTCGCCATCGGGCATGTGTTGATGGAGTTGTGATAACGTCGAGACACACAAAATTGGCAAATCAAGTATCAGTCCGGGTACGAGTGGCGGCAGTGTCTGGGTGTGGGGGAGGGTCGAAGGGACGGGAATAGCAACCTCCTCGGCGGTCTGATGGTGCGAAGCATCGGTGGCAGCGAGCTCGGGGACGACAACTGAGTGTGAGTCGCCCGAACTAGTATCATTGACGACAGTATCGCCGGTTGCTAGTCCACTACTCTGCGCTTCAGGGTCAACATCAGTCGTTGTTTCGGCTGCGATGCGCTGTTCACCCCTCTCATCGTCCTCGTCATGTATTTCAAAGCGGGGAACAACCGTCGAATCCGGTTTCAAAGGGCGCTGTCGTCGAGAGAACAGAGAACCCAAGCTCAAGGAATGCTTTGTCGAAATTGTATCGATCAAAGGTCTTTTTAAACGCTTTCGATTGGGTGAACGCCTTCGCGGACTGATGCGGAATATGTCGCGGATACCCTTTCTACGAGTCGGCGCTTGAAACAACGTGGCAGTGTTCTTGGTGGCAGACACCACAACTGTGTTGCAAATAGTCATAGCTAGTATGAAGTCCTCCTCAAACGTGTGAACAATTCGGGATTCTGTCCGTCCATCGCCAGCCACAGACGTTGGCATCCCTTGTCCCGTCAGATGTAGCTCTTCGCTTGCCGCAAGTGGATCTCGCGAGAGTAGTGACATTTGGGCGACAATAGGTCTAAGCGAGGCAAAGGTTTGATCAGCTTGAGGCACCAAAGTTTCCTCTGAGGTGTGTGAATTTCCATGGTTCACGTAGTTATGGGCGGTATCAGCTGTGTATTCAATCCCGTTGATGCTGGCGCGCTTGAATTCCATCTTATTCTCTGTCAGTGTGCCCGTCTTGTCGCAGAACACGTACTCGATTTGACCCAAGTCTTCTAGTATGTCGAATGTTCGAACCTCGACACGTCTATCGACGCGCGCGTCGTATAACTGCAGATCATGACTCATATGCCATACCTGATGCATTTTGATAAACTCGATGCT